ATGTCGTGAATGGAAACTTTCGTACCGTAGAGAGAATTTTTGTGGCAGGTGTAGCATGCGTTTGAAAAAAGGTAATACCGGCGTTGATAGTACCATGAATTCCAGGTTTAAATTTCAGGGAACGAAATGCGATCAAAAACCAGATGAAAGGAACAGTAACAACGTAAGGTTATCCTGAACTGGAAACTATGGATTTCTCTGCAAACCAACCCAAAGGTGGTACAAGTACATGCAGATTAGGTAGAGCAAAGGTATGTGTTCCAGGGAATAGCTGTTTATTGCCTATTCTCTACGACAGCTGTCAATTGCGGTATTTTTTGACATTCATTAGCTCTTGGTCAGTCTTTCCATAATTTCGTATGCATTAATTTGTCTTGGGTCTGCTGCTATGATGTATGACTAAATTTTCATAACTCGATTTGTATCATGATTTGGTCCAATTCTTTCATAACAAGGACATGAATTTCATAAAACTTACAAATTAAATTTTTAAATTTAATATTTTAACAACCGATAAATTTTTACTCTGACAAGAGAAATATTTTAGTCTGGATAAAATAATTTTGATAAATTTTCCAAGTTTTCATAATACGAACGTCGCTAAAGGATCAACGTATTCGTTATTTCTTGACGCCTCAAATCTAGCTTTGTTATTATCTCGTTTCAACCAGTGACAGAGTGACCATCGTCAACTCAGAGGCTTGGTGTCATTGTACTAAAATTTCACTATGTCTTCGCTGGAGTTATTTAAATGTTATTCCATAGTTATTCCGTTTAGCTTTACAATCACTGTGCCATTTTTGCAAATGGCACAATTTTATTTTTAAGATCTTGCGTAACCCTGGCATAAATAATAAACAGTAAATCAAAAAGGACTGCAAACCTTAGAATGTCTTAAAGCCTCTACGGAAGGAAGACTATGGAAAATATGTCTTTAGAAAGCTCATGGAGTAGCAGCCCATGAACCTTCAAGAGTTATGTTTTGTCGATGTGTTTGTCTATGGATAGTGGATGACGTAGATGGTGCTCAAAAGAGGTTTCGTCCAGCCAGACACAGAAACCCTGTCCTGCTCCCATGCACCCTTTGTATTCAAATATTGAGCAGTGGCCTGGTTTAGGTTGTCCCCTAAGCGAATTGAAGCAAGGAGGCGGAACGCATGGGCTTAGTGAATCTGGTTTCAAAGATTGAAATGTCATAATTACCGATGGAATTGGAAAACGCCTATGCCATAGGTACCCCTAAACATGGGGTTATGTTATGTCTAGGGTCTTTATTTTTAAGCTGATAAATGAACAATACGCTAGGGCACCGAATGTTTACTTGTGAATGAACTTTTAGTGTCATTTACGGTATGAATCTCTTTACAACCTATTTGTTTGCTGTTTGTGACCCATCAATAGCTTCAGAAATGAGATATGTCCATCTCTAAACCTGGAAAATATGAGGAATTCTGACAGTCACTGGATAACATTTGCTTTCGTTGTACTTCGCTGTTCCTGCGATCCTCCTCTGCGGTAGCCAACCGCTCTTCGCAGGGAGGATACCGGTAGAAGTAAATGGGGACAAGGTTTGCAATTACTTTTTTCAGAAACAAATATTAACTTTCATTCAAAAACTGTTGATGAATTCCATTGCTTGACAGATGTGACATTTCTACCAGGCAGCGAAAGAAGTTAGGAGCTAAACAGGTTCTAGGGTAAACAGTATTTCATTCATTCATGGCCTATTTCCGCAAATTGACTTATGATCCATTTTCTTGTTTACAGCGATGCGGAAGTTTTGCCTTTGATCAGAACTAGTTTTATTCGAACATGGCGTGTAAACAGGATACTTTATTCCCATGAAACTAATATGGAAGACGACTGATAATTCGTAAACTTTGATCACCCCTGCAGATTTCGACGTTGATGTGATGGCAGATTCTGAAACATCGTTCGTAACGACCGCGGTGTGATTCTCGCGGACAAAACGATGCGCGATGAATGCGACACTGAATGTGCTCAAACACCACCGAATCCTGTCCCCCTTCCACGACTTTCTTTGGCAACTAGAAGCAGGGAATGCAAGACGTCGTAAATTTGGTCTTGGATGAGTTTTGAGTCGTTCGATGATCAAATTTTATATCAATAACTACGTAGGAGAAAAACCTGTAAAGTGATATAGGTAACTGATAGCAATTTCCGCTCACAGAAAGCCGTGACATGTGTTTTCATAACGGTGTCTTTCATGACGGCAGTGGAAAAACGTTTTTTCAAATTAATGATAAGCAGCCTATGCCTTTCTGTACCTCACTCCAGAGTAAACGCAACGAATGATTATTCATGCGAGCACCTTTCCTGATCAAAAACTGTTTGTAATAACTTAACTTAGTGAGTTTAGAAGGATGATCGATTGTGCTTTAATAACTTTGCACAGGGAGAGAGCCGGTCCGAGTCTGACAGCAACGCAATTGCATTTCATTAACTGTTGATTGCTTGAGGAACGAGTTCATCAACACGGTGTGGTTCTGTTCGATCAGACAAGAAACGGTAAACGGCTAGCACGTGATATCCAAGACCAGGGGGCACTATGCTAATATGATGTGGTCTTCGAGGAGCATGCAAAACTTAAGCACCTCCTCTTTTGTGGCTGTGTTTAGCAATGAGATGGCGTTAGGACGTTGTTCCAAGGTTAAAAAAATAGCTTGCTAGAAAACCCGTAATAGTAGATTTATTTTTATTAGATTTGCCTATAATCCGACTTACTTCAGCGGTATTCAAAAATGCTTTGGTTCACCCCAACAAACTAGCACTGTCTGAATAATATCATCGAACGGTGGTCTCGCAGGTGACCAAAAACGCATACATGCGTAGCAGTGATAGGATCTTCGACAGAGAGTTACTGAGGAATTTCAGACTTAAGAGGAAAATAAACACCATTAGGCAGAACTGGCGTCTGTAAAGCCTTTATGCATGTTACTTTTGCGTTTGGAGAATAAAATTGAAGATCATTGCGTACTGGGAAGAACCATTCCGAATGAATCCCGATCGGTTGTAGTTCATGATGAATTTTCGGGCAAGCTAAGCTTTCTGCCACAACAATCGCAACTTGCAGATTTAGAGGCTCGATCATTAATTACGCAGAAGCACATGCTGAAATGACACACAACTGACTATTAATGATTAGTTTTGCTACATGAGATATTGCATACTGTACATGATTCAATCGTTAACTTCTGCACATCATATTAAACCAAAATTACTTACCGTGGCAAAGGGTCAGCTGCAAGCCAACCAGAAAAACAACGAATTGTTTTAGCATCGTGATTGTTTGTTGCTGATTCCAGTCGATCCTTCAAACGAAAGCCAGTAGCAACGCAGTTTCTGATCCATTTAGTGTGGGATTACATATATATGGAGCACACGGTGA